GTGAACCCACACCTGTGTGTGTAGACAGGTGTGGACCCACACCTGTGTGTGTATAGACAGGTGTGGACCCACACCTGTGTGTGTGTAGACAGGTGTGGACCCACACCTGTGTGTGTATAGACAGGTGTGGACCCACACCTGTGTGTGTGTAGACAGGAGTGGACCCACACCTGTGTGTGGAGATAACAAGCAGCCAGTAATTGGGGTCAAGAGCTCACGAGACAATTACATCGTCAGACATGGTGTGGCCTTGTGCTAAGCCACTTGAGACTACTAATCAAGATCAAAGGACACTGCCCCCCTCCCCCCCCCCACCCCCTCACACAGTCCTCAGTTGTTGGTTAAAACAAACGACCAGAGACAGGTGAGGGCATCCACATGCAGCCCCGCTCCTGTGCCAGGTAAGTCCACTACGGGCTCACCATAGCCCGTGCTACTTGCCCCGCTCCTGTGCCAGGTAAGTCCACTACGGGCTCACCATAGCCCGTGCTGCTTGCCCCGCTCCTGTGCCAGGTAAGTCCACTACGGGCTCACCATAGCCCGTGCTACTTGCCCCGCTCCTGTGCCAGGTAAGTCCACTACGGGATCACCATAGCCCGTGCTACTTGCCCCGCTCCTGTGCCAGGTAAGTCCACTTCGGGATCACCATAGCCCGTGCTACTTGCCCCGCTCCTGTGCCAGGTAAGTCCACTACGGGATCACCATAGCCCGTGCTACTTGCCCCGCTCCTGTGCCAGGTAAGTCCACTACGGGATCACCATAGCCCGTGCTACTTGCCCCGCTCCTGTGCCAGGTAAGTCCACTACGGGCTCACCATAGCCCGTGCTACTTGCCCCGCTCCTGTGCCAGGTAAGTCCACTACGGGCTCACCATAGCCCGTGCTACTTGCCCCGCTCCTGTGCCAGGTAAGTCCACTACGGGCTCACCATAGCCCGTGCTACTTGCCCCGCTCCTGTGCCAGGTAAGTCCACTACGGGCTCACCACAGCCCGTGCTACTTGCAACTTGTTTCGAGTAGCTGAATCTACAACAACAACAAACTCGTCTTGAGGACATTGTATACAATACCTTACTATTTACTAACTCTCACTATTTTAGGAACTCCTTGACCTTAGCTGTTGGCCCTCACAGGGCAACCACAAGCACCTCCATAACAAGTGGTTGACCTTAGCTGTTGGCCCTCACAGGGCAACCACAAGCCCCTCCATAACAAGTGGTTGACCTTAGCTGTTGGCCCTCACAGGGCAACCACAAGCCCCTCCATAACAAGTGGTTGACCTTAGCTGTTGGCCCTCACAGGGCAACCACAAGCCCCTCCATAACAAGTGGTTGACCTTAGCTGTTGGCCCTCACAGGGCAACCACAAGCCCCTCCATAACAAGTGGTTGACCTTAGCTGTTGGCCCTCACAGGGCAACCACAAGCCCCTCCATAACAAGTGGTTGACCTTAGCTGTTGGCCCTCACAGGGCAACCACAAGCCCCTCCATAACAAGTGGTTGACCTTAGCTGTTGGCCCTCACAGGGCAACCACAAGCCCCTCCATAACAAGTGGTTGACCTTAGCTGTTGGCCCTCACAGGGCAACCACAAGCCCCTCCATAACAAGTGGTTGACCTTAGCTGTTGGCCCTCACAGGGCAACCACAAGCCCCTCCATAACAAGTGGTTGACCTTAGCTGTTGGCCCTCACAGGGCAACCACAAGCCCCTCCATAACAAGTGGTTGACCTTAGCTGTTGGCCCTCACAGGGCAACCACAAGCCCCTCCATAACAAGTGGTTGACCTTAGCTGTTGGCCCTCACAGGGCAACCACAAGCCCCTCCATAACAAGTGGTTGACCTTAGCTGTTGGCCCTCACAGGGCAACCACAAGCCCCTCCATAACAAGTGGTTGACCTTAGCTGTTGGCCCTCACAGGGCAACCACAAGCACCTCCATAACAAGTGGTTGACCTTAGCTGTTGGCCCTCACAGGGCAGCCACAAGCACCTCCATAACAAGTGGTTGACCTTAGCTGTTGGCCCTCACAGGGCAGCCACAAGCACCTCCATAACAAGTGGTTGACCTTAGCTGTTGGCCCTCACAGGGCAACCACAAGCACCTCCATAACAAGTGGTTGACCTTAGCTGTTGGCCCTCACAGGGCAACCACAAGCCCCTCCATAACAAGTGGTTGACCTTAGCTGTTGGCCCTCACAGGGCAACCACAAGCACCTCCATAACAAGTGGTTGACCTTAGCTGTTGGCCCTCACAGGGCAACCACAAGCCCCTCCATAACAAGTGGTTGACCTTAGCTGTTGGCCCTCACAGGGCAACCACAAGCCCCTCCATAACAAGTGGTTGACCTTAGCTGTTGGCCCTCACAGGGCAACCACAAGCCCCTCCATAACAAGTGGTTGACCTTAGCTGTTGGCCCTCACAGGGCAACCACAAGCCCCTCCATAACAAGTGGTTGGCCTTAGCTGTTGGCCCTCACAGGGCAACCACAAGCCCCTCCATAACAAGTGGTTGGCCTTAGCTGTTGGCCCTCACAGGGCAACCACAAGCCCCTCCATAACAAGTGGTTGGCCTTAGCTGTTGGCCCTCACAGGGCAACCACAAGCACCTCCATAACAAGTGGTTGGCCTTAGCTGTTGGCCCTCACAGGGCAACCACAAGCACCTCCATAACAAGTGGTTGGCCTTAGCTGTTGGCCCTCACAGGGCAACCACAAGCCCCTCCATAACAAGTGGTTGGCCTTAGCTGTTGGCCCTCACAGGGCAACCACAAGCCCCTCCATAACAAGTGGTTGGCCTTAGCTGTTGGCCCTCACAGGGCAACCACAAGCACCTCCATAACAAGTGGTTGGCCTTAGCTGTTGGCCCTCACAGGGCAACCACAAGCCCCTCCATAACAAGTGGTTGGCCTGTCCGGGAGATGTTCATTTTTTTATAAACTGTAAAAATTTAAGTTTTTGAGTGCCAGATCTAATTTTTGTGACCTTCGTAGGAACAGTTGTGTGGTAGCCTAGGGTCCAGTTAGACTAGCAAAGATACATCTTGCACTGACTGGACTTCTAACTGGATTCTTCTTCATGATTGAGGTAAGTGTGGTCTTTTAACAGGGGCCCGTGCTAATTTTTGTATTTTTTCCAATTTTTATTTCAGGCTATTATCTAGAATAATTAGTGATGGAGGCTAAGTTGCAGGAACTAGGAGATGCACCCTCAGTGGTAGAAATTAGTATTGTTGGGAAAGGAGTTTGGTCTAGAGTTAAGTGAAACTGATAAAAAGTGGATATTCCTCAATGAAATTTTACAACATTGCATAAACTAAGTACTATTGCCAAGTGATACAGCTTTATGCCGGCCCAGTCAAGCTGAAAGTGCAGCTGGAGGGACAGAGAATTAGAGTTAAAGTTAGTCAAATTAAGACTGGCGGAGCAAGAGGCAAAATTAGCGGAGCAAAGGCTCAGATATCAAGAAGCAAGTAATAGAGGCTCTACCACTGTACCACCACCTGCCGGGGACTCAAACCCCAAACATTATGGTAAAAAGTCTAACCTGCCAGAATTTTCAGAGTTAGACCCTAAAAGATTTTTCACCCATTTTCAGAGGCTGACCAGGTCCATGAACTGGCCAGAGGAAAATTGGGTGAGCATCTTACAGGGGCGGCTAAGAGGCAAACCCCAAGATGCCTGACGACGAGTGTTTTAATTATAGTAAAGTCAGGGAACAGATTTTGAGGGCGTATGAAATTACGCCTGAAGCTCACCAGGCCTATCGCAACCTTAAGCCTACACACAACCAACCTCTCACCGAATTTGCAAATAACCAAATAAGATTGTTCGAAAAATGGATTCGCTCAGCTAAAGCTGAGACGGATGAGGCACTCAAATATATATTTTTAGTTGAAGAATTTATAGGCAACATGTGAGAGCCAGTGGCACGGTACCTCACAGAAAGGAACGAGATTGTTACAAGTATTATTGACTTGGCCAAGATGGCAGAAAACTACCATTTGGTGGGCAAAATGTCCATTAAAAATAATTATATTCCACATGGTAACAAACCTTATACCCACAGCCAGTCCAAACCTGCCCATTCTAACCCTGTAACTATTGCACCTTCTCTTTCAGACAAAACTAACCAGGTTAAGTTGTCTAACCCCAATGCACCTAAGAGTGAACCTCAGAGGGAACTCTGGTATTAATGTTTCTTCTCCCCAAAGGTCATGTGGTCATTGTAAACGTACAAACCACACCACAAGCCGTTGTTGGCAACGGTACCCAGTACAAAGGCCCCGTGTTTGTATTGTGACACAAGGCTTGTGTATTGTGACACAAGGCTTGTGTATTGTGACACAAGGCTTGTGTATTGTGACACAAGGCTTGTGTATTGTGACACAAGGCTTGTGTATTGTGACACAAGGCTTGTGTATTGTGACACAAGGCTTGTGTATTGTGACACAAGGCTTGTGTATTGTGACACAAGGCTTGTGTATTGTGACACAAGGGTTGAGGCCTTCTGAAGGGTTAGAGAGTAAAACTCCCAACCCTAAGTGGCTGGGCCTGCTTACTCCTTCTTGTCCTAAGGGAAGCTTTCAACTTTTGAGGTTTTTGATGGTTCTTCTTGAAAGGACGTAGTGATCTTCCGAGACACCGGTGACCCCTCCCCCACCCCCACCCCTACAGTTTTCACAATATCAGAAATATCGCAAATCTGACTCATGAGCGTTATTTTTTAGCTGAATTCTGGCTCACTGCATGTATTTGGAGTTTGAAATTAAGACTTTTTATTCCGAAAATATATATGGGAATTAGTGAAAACAGCGATGGGTCACATTTTACCCCCCCCCCCCTGCAGTTTTCACAATATCGGAAATACCGCAAATCTGACTCATGACCTTATTTCTGAGCCGTATTTGGGGTCACTGCATATGTTTGAATTTTGAAATTATGAATTTTTATACCTAAAATATGCCAATTGTTGAAAACGGTGATGGCCAATATTGAGACAGTAAAGACCTTTGTGCTTTTAGTAAAGTAGATCCACGAGGGAAGGTGAGAGATCCACGAGGGAAGGTGAGAGATCCACGAGGGAAGGTGAGAGATCCACGAGGGAAGGTGAGAGATCCACGAGGGAAGGTGAGAGATCCACGAGGGAAGGTGAGAGATCTACGAGGGAAGGTGAGAGATCCACGAGGGAAGGTGAGAGATCCACGAGGGAAGGTGAGAGATCCACGAGGGAAGGTGAGAGATCCACGAGGGAAGGTGAGAGACAAGAGCAAGAGTCCCTCACTTAGTGAGAATCTCTCACCTGGTAAGTAGTAAACAATGGCGGCGCCAGGACATGAATCAGACTTGGGCGAATATCAAAGTTTTAAGAAGGATAAATGAGCCTTATGGCCCCAGAATACTGGATGAGCAACGTCGGGGAGAAGAAAGAGGTAAATCGTGAGAGAGGTGGATGAGAGAGATGGATGACAGACGAGTGATGAGAGAGGTGGATGACAGACGAGTGATGAGACAGGTGGATGACAGACCAGTGATGAGACAGGTGGATGACAGACCAGTGATGAGACAGGTGGATGATACGAGAGAAATGAAAGAGAAAGATGAGAACGATACAATTAAAGAGTGAGAAATGTGGTACTCACGGGAGAGGGAAGGAGTGGACTGGGTGTTAGAGTCCAGCAACAGGTGAGTCAGGTGATGACCGTAATGGGTGAACTAGAGGGGGGGGGAGGTGAGTAGGTAGAATATGAGTCAGCAGTGTAGTTGGTAGATGACTGCATCAGTGTAATTGGTAGAACTAAATCACCTCTTACCAGGAAGGCTTGAGGGGCCGGAGGGCTAACAACACCACAAACCGGACAGGACAAGGCTGATCTCCTCTATACCTGACCCACACCACTTCTATAAAAGGTCATCTGCAACACACACACCGGAGGAAAGAGCTTCAAGCTCAACAAGCCACAATGTAGGGCAGAAAACAGGAGATATTTCTTCACCCGCAGGGTTATAAACCCGTGGAACCGCCTACCCGCCGAAGCCCTAAATTCCAAAAACTCTGCAGATCAAAATACTGCTAAATAAAATCATCAGAACCAATAGGGGGTGACCTCTGACAAGCCACTGGCTTCCTGTCCTCGTCGAGGCACCTAGAGAGAGGGTGGCTCTCAGGTAAATTCAGGTACATTCAGATGCTTGAATCAGAATAGTTGGTAGATGATTGTTGGAGTGTAGTCAGTAGATGAATTTATCAGAGTAGATGGCAGTAGATAGGAGACGCATTGATTAGGTCGAATTAGATAATTCAGGGGACCGGTAAAGTCCGATCAGATCAAGGAAGCTGTTGCTACTTCTACTTACATCGTATTTTATTATTAGAAAAATGCCTGTCACTAGAGTACCAGTTTCAGAATTACATTTTCAGTATCACTCAAGTTTTACAGAAGCGGCTGAAGGTAGACTGTGAGGACCACCTGGCGACCTGATAACATGCCCACACCTGCCACTGGAAGACCTCCACAGGTACGCCAGGTGTGTAGTACCTGCACACCTGTACCTGCACACCTGTACCTGCACACCTGTACCTACACGTGAATGTTGGCGACTTATGGGTAGAGTTATTTAGGTTTATACACAAGAAATACATTGTGTTTGTGAGAGAACATATTCCCAGGAGTGGCAGACAGCTTCGTAACTTGGGAGCTGTGAAGGTTGTGTCTGTGAGCCAGCTGTGAAGGTTGTGTCTGTGAGCCAGCTGTGAAGGTTGTATCTGTGAGCCAGCTGTGAAGGTTGTGTGTGAGCCAGCTGTGAAGGTTGTATCTGTGAGCCAGCTGTGAAGGTTGTGTGTGAGCCAGCTGTGAAGGTTGTATCTGTGAGCCAGCTGTGAAGATTGTGTCTGTGAGCCAGCTGTGAAGGTTGTATCTGTGAGCCAGCTGTGAAGGTTGTGTGTGAGCCAGCTGTGAAGGTTGTGTCTGTGAGCCAGCTGTGAAGGTTGTGTGTGTGAGCCAGCTGTGAAGGTTGTATCTGTGAGCCAGCTGTGAAGGTTGTGTGTGAGCCAGCTGTGAAGATTGTGTCTGTGAGCCAGCTGTGAAGGTTGTATCTGTGAGCCAGCTGTGAAGGTTGTGTCTGTGAGCCAGCTGTGAAGGTTGTGTCTGTGAGCCAGCTGTGAAGGTTGTATCTGTGAGCCAGCTGTGAAGGTTGTGTCTGTGAGCCAGCTGTGAAGGTTGTGTCTGTGAGCCAGCTGTGAAGGTTGTATCTGTGAGCCAGCTGTGAAGGCTGTGTCTGTGAGCCAGCTGTGAAGGTTGTGTGTGAGCCAGCTGTGAAGGTTGTGTCTGTGAGCCAGCTGTGAAGGTTGTATCTGTGAGCCAACTGTGAAGGTTGTATCTGTGAGCCAGCTGTGAAGGTTGTGTGTGAGCCAGCTGTGAAGGTTGTATCTGTGAGCCAGCTGTGAAGGTTGTGTCTGTGAGCCAGCTGTGAAGGTTGTGTCTGTGAGCCAGCTGTGAAGGTTGTATCTGTGAGCCAGCTGTGAAGGTTGTGTCTGTGAGCCAGCTGTGAAGGTTGTGTCTGTGAGCCAGCTGTGAAGGTTGTGTCTGTGAGCCAGCTGTGAAGGTTGTGTCTGTGAGCCAGCTGTGAAGGTTGTGTCTGTGAGCCAGCTGTAAAGGTTGTATCTGTGAGCCAGCTGTGAAGGTTGTGTCTGTGAGCCAGCTGTGAAGGTTGTATCTGTGAGCCAGCTGTGAAGGTTGTATCTGTGAGCCAGCTGTGAAGGTTGTATCTGTGTGCCAGCTGTGAAGATTGTGTCTGTGAGCCAGCTGTGAAGGTTGTGTCTGAGCCAGCTGTGAGGGTTGTATCTGTGAGCCAGCTGTGAAGGTTGTGTCTGTGAGCCAGCTGTGAAGGTTGTGTCTGTGAGCCAGCTGTGAGGGTTGTATCTGAGCCAGCTGTGAGGGTTGTATCTGAGCCAGCTGTGAAGGTTGTATCTGAGCCAGCTGTGAGGGTTGTATCTGTGAGCCAGCTGTGAAGGTTGTGTCTGTGAGCCAGCTGTGAAGGTTGTGTCTGTGAGCCAGCTGTGAGGGTTGTATCTGAGCCAGCTGTGAGGGTTGTATCTGAGCCAGCTGTGAAGGTTGTATCTGAGCCAGCTGTGAGGGTTGTATCTGAGCCAGCTGTGAAGGTTGTATCTGAGCCAGCTGTGAAGGTTGTATTTGAGCCAGCTGTTGCTCTGGTGGAAGCTGGTCTCGGGCTCCAGGCAACAGGATCAAGCGGAGTGAAATTTAATTAAAAGAAGATCACAGACGGTGCTCACCTTGACTTACTCCAAACACATCACGAATTTTGCCAGAGAAACTCTTAGTGATGTTCTCTCTCTCTCTCTCTCTCTCTCTCTCTCTCTCTCTCTCTCTCTCTCTCTCTCTCTCTCTCTCTCTCTCTCTCTCTCTCTCTCTCTCTCTCTCTCTCTCTCTCTCTCTCTCTCTCTCTCTCTCTCTCTCTCTCTCTCTCTCTCTCTCTCTCTCTCTCTCTCTCTCTCTCTCTCTCTCTCTCTCTCTCTCTCTCTCTCTCTCTCTCTCTCTCTCTCTCTCTCTCTCTCTCTCTCTCTCTCTCTCTCTCTCTCTCTCTCTCTCTCTCTCTCTCTCTCTCTCTCTCTCTCTCTCTCTCTCTCTCTCTCTCTCTCTCTCTCTCTCTCTCTCTCTCTCTCTCTCTCTCTCTCTCTCTCTCTCTCTCTCTCTCTCTCTCTCTCTCTCTCTCTCTCTCTCTCTCTCTCTCTCTCTCTCTCTCTCTCTCTCTCTCTCTCTCTCTCTCTCTCTCTCTCTCTCTCTCTCCCTCTCTCTCTCTCCCTCTCTCTCTCTCTCTCTCTCTCTCTCTCTCTCTCTCTCTCTCTCTCTCTCTCTCTCTCTCTCTCTCTCTCTCTCTCTCTCTCTCTCTCTCTCTCTCTCTCTCTCTCTCTCTCTCTCTCTCTCTCTCTCTCCCTCTCTCTCTCTCCCTCTCTCTCTCTCTCTCTCTCTCTCTCTCCTCTCTCTCTCTCTCTCTCTCTCTCTCTCTCTCTCTCTCTCTCTCTCTCTCTCTCTCTCTCTCTCTCTCTCTCTCTCTCTCTCTCTCTCTCTCTCTCTCTCTTTCTCTCTCTCTCTCTCCCTTCCTCCCTCTTCCCTTCTTCCTCCTCGTGTCGGTATTTTCTCCTTGCCTCAATTATCATATGAAAGCTCTGTGCTGAAATGTTCACAAGATACACACAAAGGAATAGAATAATAAACTCAACGAGTAAAAGGCAGATCAAAGGAGGAATGAGTGAAGGAGAGTTATATATAATGGCGAAGACAGGAACAGAGGGAGGGAGGGAGGGAGGGAGGGAGGGGGCGAAAGAGACAGTAATGTGTTGACTGATTTCAGTAGACAGAAAGCCTTGGCTTTGGTACGTTATCTATGCTGTTGAAACTCAAGCAAGTTTCCACTGATAGTAGAAGTCCGCCAGTGTATGCCCGCCAGTGGAAGCCCGCCAGTGGAAGCCCGCCAGTGGAAGTCCGCCAGTGGAAGTCCGCCAGTGGGAGCCCGCCAGTAGAAGCCCGCCAGTGGAAGCCCGCCAGTGGATGTCCGCCAGTGGAAGCCCGCCAGTGGAAGCCCGCCAGTGGAAGCCCGCCAGTTGAAGCCCGCCAGCGGAAGCCCACCAGTGGAAGCCCGCCAGTGGAAGCCCGCCAGTGGAAGCCCGCCAGTGGAAGCCCGCCAGTGGTAGCCCGCCAGTGGAAGACCGCCAGTGGAAGCCCACCAGTGGAAGCCCGCCAGTGGAAGCCCGCCATTGGAAGCCCGCCAGTGGTAGTCCGCCAGTGGAAGACCGCCAGTGGAAGCCCGCCAGTGGAAGCCCACCAGTGGAAGCCCGCCAGTGGAAGCCCGCCAGTGGAAGCCCGCCAGTGGAAGCCCGCCAGTGGAAGCCCACCAGTGGAAGCCCGCCAGTGGAAGCCCGCCAGTGGAAGCCCGCCAGTGGAAGCCCGCCAGTGGAAGCCCGCCAGTGGAAGCCCACCAGTGGAAGCCCGCCAGTGGAAGCCCGCCAGTGGAAGCCCGCCAGTGGAAGCCCGCCAGTGGAAGCCCGCCAGTGGAAGCCCGCCAGTGGAAGACCGCCAGTGGAAGCCCACCAGTGGAAGCCCGCCAGTGGAAGCCCGCCAGTGGAAGCCCGCCAGTGGAAGCCCACCAGTGGAAGCCCACCAGTGGAAGCCCGCCAGTGGAAGCCCGCCAGTGGAAGCCCACCAGTGGAAGCCCGCCAGTGGAAGCCCGCCAGAGGAAGTCCACCAGTGGAAGCCCGCCAGTGGAAGACCGCCAGTGGAAGACCGCCAGTGGAAGACCGCCAGTGGAAGCCCACAAGTGGAAGCCCACCAGTGGAAGCCTGCCAGTGGAAGCCCGCCAGTGGAAGCCCGCCAGTGGAAGCCCGCCAGTGGAAGCCCGCCAGTGGAAGCCCACCAGTGGAAGCCCGCCAGTGGAAGCCCGCCAGTGGAAGCCCGCCAGTGGAAGCCCGCCAGTGGAAGCCCGCCAGTGGAAGCCCGCCAGTGGAAGACCGCCAGTGGAAGCCCACCAGTGGAAGCCCGCCAGTGGAAGCCCGCCAGTGGAAGCCCGCCAGTGGAAGCCCCCCAGTGGAAGCCCACCAGTGGAAGCCCGCCAGTGGAAGCCCGCCAGTGGAAGCCCACCAGTGGAAGCCCGCCAGTGGAAGCCCGCCAGAGGAAGTCCACCAGTGGAAGCCCGCCAGTGGAAGACCGCCAGTGGAAGACCGCCAGTGGAAGACCGCCAGTGGAAGCCCACAAGTGGAAGCCCACCAGTGGAAGCCTGCCAGTGGAAGCCCGCCAGTGGAAGCCCGCCAGTGGAAGCCCGCCAGTGGAAGCCCGCCAGTGGAAGCCCACCAGTGGAAGCCCACCAGTGGAAGCCCGCCAGTGGAAGCCCGCCAGTGGGAGACGAGCATTTTGTAAACAGGTTTACAAAGCCTAATACTTTACCAGTCACGCTTAGTACACGAGCAGCTGTCATGGAAGCCTCTGTACGAAAGGTCAACCAGTTGATTAGAGAGGCTGTTATGACACAGGTCAGGCATGTATACAGGTATGACACTTGCATACAGGTATGACACATGTATAACCGCTACACGATGGGGGGCCTCGTAGCCTGGTGGATAGCGCGCAGGTCTCGTAATTCTGTGGCGCGGGTTCGATTCCCGCACGAGGCAGAAACAAATGGGCAAAGTTTCTTTCACCCTAAGTGCCCCTGTTACCTAGCAGTAAATAGGTACCTGGGAGTTAGTCAGCTGTCACGGGCTGCTTCCTGGGGTGTGTGTGGTGTGGAAAAAAAAAAAAAAAAAAAAAAAAAAGTAGTTAGTAAACAGTTGATTGACAGTTGAGAGGCGGGCCGAAAGAGCAAAGCTCAACCCCCGCAAAAACACAACTAGTAAACACACACACACACACACACACACACACACACACACCTGGGCTACAGGAGCCTCAGGTGAATAAAATGTTATTTTTATGTTCAAACCAACATTACCATCATTACCATGTGTGTGTGTGTGTGTGTGTGTGTGTGTGGGGGGGGGGGGGCCGGAGCTGTATCGACCGCGTGGGGGGAGTCTACTGTTCGAGTCTCTAAGAGCCCAGGTGAATGGAATGTTTATGTCCACGGAGGTGTGGATGACAATGGTGTTGAAATAACGTGTGTGACAAATTGGTCCACTTGGCTGTGGTTGGTGGGAGCGGCAGCACCCGGCCCCGACCCTCTCCCTCAGGTCGCCTCACTCACACTCACCCCCAACACACTGTGAGTTAAGAGCGCACGCAATTAATGACAGTGCACCTATTCAGTACCAACTCTCACACTCACGCACACACGCTTCCGTTCGTGTACTCACCTAGTTGTGCTTGCGGGGGTTGAGCTCTGGCTCTTTGGTCCCGCCTCTCAACTGTCAATCAACTGATGTACAGGTTCCTGAGCCTACTGGGCTCTATCATATCTACACTTGAAACTGTGTATGGAGTCAGCCTCCACCACATCACTGCCTAATGCATTCCACCTGTTAACTACTCTGACACTGAACAAGTTCTTTCTAACGTCTCTGTGGCTCATGTGGGTACTCAGTTTCCACCTGTGTCCCCTTGTTCGTGTTCCACCCGTGTTAAACAGTCTATCTTTATCTACCCTGTGAATTCCTCAGAATATTGTAGGTAGTGATCATGTCTCCCCTTACTCTTCTGTCTTCCAGTGTCATAAGGTGCATTTCCCGCAGCCTTTCCTCGTAACTCATGCCTCTTACTTCTGGGACTAGCCTAGTAGCATACCTCTGAACCGTGTCCAATTTCGTCTTGTGCTTGACAAGGTACGGGCTCCATGCTGGGGCCGCATACTCCAGGATTGGTCTTACATACGTGGTATACAAATTCTGAATGATTCCTTACACAGGTTTCTGAAGGCAGTTCTGATGTTACTCAGCCTATCATACGCCGCAGACGTTATTCTTTTTATGTGGGCTTCAGGAGACAGGTTTGGTGTGATATCAACTCCTAGATCTTTCTCTCTGTCCGTTTCATGAAAGACTTCATCTCCTATTCTGTGTTTCATCCCTAATCATTTACTCGGGTTGAACTTTAGTAGCCATTTATTGGACCAGTCATTCAGTTTGTCTAGGTCGTCTTGTAGTCTCATACTGTCTTCCTCCGTCTTAATCCTCCTCATAATTTTTGCATCATCAGCAAACAATGAGAGGAATGATTCTATGCCATCTGAAAGATCATTTACATATATCAGAAACAGTATAGGTCCAAGGACTGACCCCTGCGGGACTCCACTTGTGACGTCTCGCCACTCCGACACCTCACCCCTCACACTGACTTGCTGTCTTCTGTTGCTTAGGTACTCCCTTATCCAGCGTGATTGATGAATGGGCCCCACACCGCCCTGCTGCAGCTTCTCCGCCGACACAAGAGTTGAACACTTGACAGGAGTTGCTCAGTACACTGCGGCTTGAGGAGTGACGCCTCGAGGGCGAGGTCTCGTCTTGACAGCACGGAGCCCCCCCCCCCCCCCCGAGGCTCAGGACACGGAGCCCAGAGCCAGAGGGGTGAACCCGCGCCTCGTGGCTCCTCATAAAGAAACTTCCCCCCCCCAAAAAAAACTCCAATCAAAATGCAGTTTCTACCATACACAAGCATCTGATTGGCGAGGTCTGGTCAGTCGTGACCGCCACTTGCCACACTCGCCAGATAAAGTTATGGCTGAGTTCCCCTGTGGTATATATATATATATATAATGTGTAAGAATAGGGGTACTAGGAGAAGAAAATATTAAAGTTTTCCGTGAGAATCCACAAGGTCTTCATTTAAGACTCTATTTTGTTTTATGGGACAACGGGCAAATTATGGATAGCAGGAAATTTTAGTAAATTTTCCCAAAATCTTTAAATATTAATGTATTTTACTATAAGAAAAAAATGTTTTGAAATGTTGGTTTTGAACAGCTACAAGCTTAACAAGCCACAATGGAACATCCTACCCGCCGAAACCGTAAATGACAAGACATTGCTTCTATTTCAGATGGAAAAAATCCTCAGAAACAATGAGAAGACCTATAATAAACCACCGGCTTCCTGTCCCCATTGAAGCCACTAAAGATAGACACCTTCAGGTAAATTCCGGGTCAAGAACTGTACGGCCCCAGCCCCTGAGGCAGTAACATACAGGACACCAACACTGAACAAACACACACCAGGTGACCAACTCTAACACTTCCTCTACACTCCACCTTTCTAAACTCCAGTAAGTCCATTTTTTCGACGAATTGGAAACTCGTATTCATTACTTTCCGTCCCAAACAATGAGAACAAAAAGCTTCTAAGCCCAGAGCAAGGGAAAGTTTGGCTAACAGCGGGAGAGAGTTGATGGGGAAAACTTTACAGATTACTCTAGCTTATTTCCCCACAGACCACGACCCACCTCAGGCGCCTCGGAACCCGCTATAAAATACTTTACTCGTGGAATCTAATCCTTTTACTGCAGCCTCAGACTCCCGGTATAATACTACACATTTTTTCGCTTCGGTTTACACCGCCAAGGTTCCTGACCTTATACTTTCTCCTTCCAGCTGGGAGCAAGTTTGTTTACGTCTGCTCAGTTGGTTCAGAAATATTTTATTATTATTTTCACCGAGAACTTTCCCGGAAAAATGGAGGCTAGCGAGAATTGAATAGTACATTGTGGAAATACTCCGGTGCGGTTCACAGTTTATGGAAAGTGTTGTATTAAATATACACGCGCATACAGACGCCGGCTATACGTTATTTATACTTCACTATACGTAAAGAAATGGTTTTATAGAGGCCGAAGAGGACTCTCCTTGGCCAAGTCTGTCTCACTTACCATCAACTTCCTGCCCGCGCCAGAACTTGTCTCAAGTTATTCCAACAGGTGTCAGCTTATTCCAACAGATGTCAGCTTATTCCAACAGGTATCAGCTTATTCCAACAGGTGTCAGCTTATTCCAACAGATGTCAGCTTATTCCAACAGGTGTCAGCTTATTCCAACAGGTGTCAGCTTATTCTAACAGGTGTCAGCTTATTCTAACAGGTGTCAGCTCAGACTAACAAGTGTCAGCTTAGGCTAACAGGTGTCAGCTTAGGCTAACAGGTGTCAGCTTAGGCTAACAGGTGTCAGCTTAGGCTAACAGGTGTCAGCTTAGGCTAACAGGTGTCAGCTTCCTCTAACAGGTGTCAGCTTCCTCTAACAGGTGTCAGCTTCCTCTAACAGTGTCAGCTTCCTCTAACAGGTGTCAGCTGCCTCTAACAGGTGTCAGCTTCCTCTAACAGGTGTCAGCTTCCTCTAACAGGTGTCAGCTGCCTCTAACAGGTGTCAGCTTCCTCTAACAGGTGTCAGCTTCCTCTAACAGGTGTCAGCTTCCTCTAACAGGTGTCAGCTTCCTCTAACACGTATACATTTACAAATAAATATACATATAACAATTCTGTACTTATTTATAAACAAAATAACACCATCTTGAGATAATTTCGGGGCTTAGCGTCCCCGCGGCCCAGTCCTCGACCAAGACTCCTTTTTGTTACACACCCCCAGAAAGCAGCCCGTAGCAGCTGTCTAACTCCCAGGTACCTATTTACTATGTCCAGTGTCTAGTGTCCAGTGTCCAGTGTCCAGTGTCTAGTGTCTAGTGTCTAGTGTCCAGTGTCTAGTGTCTAGTGTCCAGTGTATAGTGTCTAGTGTCCAGTGTCCAGTGTCTAGTGTCTAGTGTCTGGTGTCCAGTGTCCAGTGTCTAGTGTCCAGTGTCTGGTGTCCAGTGTCTAGTGTCTGGTGTCCAGTGTCCAGTGTCTAGTGTCTAGTGTCTAGTGTCTAGTGTCTAGTGTCTGGTGTCAAGTGTCTAGTGTCCAGTGTCTAGTGTCCAGTGTCTAGTATCCAGTGTCTAGTGTCCAGTGTCCAGTGTCTAGTGTCTAGTGTCTAGTGTCTAGTGTCTGGTGTCCAGTGTCTAGTGTCCAGTGTCTAGTGTCCAGTGTCCAGTGTCTAGTGTCTAGTGTCTAGTGTCTAGTGTCTGGTGTCCAGTGTCTAGTGTCCAGTGTCTAGTATCCAGTGTTCTGATTGTGTTAGTGATTAGTGATGGTGTAGCTAGGAGAGGGGGGGACGGGAGGGGGAGGAGTGGGGGGAGGGGGGACACGGGGGGCAGGAAAGGGGGAGGAGGGGGGAGTGACAGACAGACAGACAGACTGAAGGACACCGACAGACAGCTTTGGGGTACTCAGATGGACCCGGGCACCGCCGGTTATTCCACCTAGTACTGTACAGGAGACCTGTACATAAGGGACACTGTACACTTCGAAATTACAAGAGATGAGGTCAAGAAGCACCTATTGGAGCTGGACGTGAGAAAAGCTGTTGGGCCAGACGGAATCTCGCCATGGGTATTGAAAGAGTGTGCAGGAGCACTTTGCTTGCCACTCTCC